TAACAGGGCTCCACGAGCAGTTGGATAAGACTAGTTTGATGGCATGGCAAAATAGAATGGCACTGGACATGATCTTGGCAGAGAAGGGAGGAGTCTGTAGAATGTTTGGATCTGCCTGTTGTACTTTCATTCCCAATAATACAGCGCCTGACGGATCGGTGTCCAAAGCACTGGCTGGATTGACAGCTCTGAGCCAGGAGCTGGGAGAGAATTCAGGGATTGCAGATCCATTCACCACGTGCTCTGCGGTTGCTGCTGCATTCCCTGCATTCGAGGACTCCTGCAGAGATTGATTGACACTGCCCTTAGAGAGACTAGCATACAGGGAAATCAATTGCAAATAGATGCTGAAGAAGGACAGTCACTGTTGGCGGATACGTCCGTGTGATGTTGGGTCGAGGGGTTATTAAAGTGATGCTCACAGTGAACTGTGAGCAAGGAGGGAATTGTTAGGGATTTAAGCCAGAAGTGCACCCCTAGTCATAGAATTTGTAGTACGTGTAATGATGTTTAGTGATAGAATTATAGTTTGTGTGTTATTAGATATTAGTTATTACATTAACATGTTAGATTAAGTGAATGCAATTTCAATCAAACCCAATTCATAGTCATTTAAATCATATAAACACTGTACACATTAACATTCTGTCACAATGTGATGTTAAAACCTGGGGATGGATGCCAATTGCCGTTCTTTATGGATTTCTCCCAATTTTATCCCCAAAAAGGTTTTTTTGGGAGTTTTTTCTCCTGTCAGGTAATAAATGAACAACTTATTTCAAGGCAGCCGACTGAGGCAAATGTCTTGAGAATTGAACCACATGAACTGTCTTAGATCTTATGATGAAGTGTGATGAACGGTGATCATTAGTGATGGGTTGTTGTAATGAAAGTGTACTAGTTATAAGATGAAGACTTAAACGATGTATGCTTTGTTGGGTTCACTCATTGAGGCATAAAGCCACTGTATCTACATTGAGTGCATTGGAATGTGAGGGACAGCTAGGACAGAGAGGTTTCAGGTTACAGCTGCAGCTTCACACCTCGACGTGGAAGGGACAATGGAGGAGGTGACCCTTTGGAGAAGAGGCCAATGACATTCAAATGCACCAAAGAAGACACACCTCAAGAGTTTTCAAAGGACCAAAGCGGGGAAAGACTGTTAGAACTTCTCCTGCAGCCGCGTTGATAAGTCACTTTAGACTTGCTCAGAGAATTCTCTATTTCGCGAAATATTCCACTGTTCGCTTAGTATTTCACTTTGTAATTGTAATCCCTATTACGTTGTTCAGTTATTAAATAACTTTTGATTTTGAATTTAAACGAATTGACTCATTCGTGTCCTCGTTTCCGGCCGGGACGAGAACAAAGGATTGAGTCCTCCCTCGAGAGCTTCCGAAACCTTAACAACACCAACAGTGATTCAATTAAATTTTATTTTCTATAGCCCAAAATCGCAAATTACAAATTTGCCTCAGAGGGCTTTACAGTCTGTACACATACAACATCCTCTGTCTCGAAACCCACCATCACAGGAAAAACTCCCTAAGAAATGAAAAAACCCTTCCAAGAGGGAAAAAAGGGAAGAAACCTTAGGGTGAACGTCAGAGGAGGGATCCCACTCCCGGGATGGACAGACTACAATGGATGCCATGTGTACAAAATGAACAATGTATCATACATGCAATTCCTATGACAGAAATAATTCAAGTAATTGTGAGTAGTAAGCCAGGCGCACAGCAGGACCACTGCATGGGCAACCACCATCAGATAGAACCACCATCCACAGAAGCCTGTGGGGATGGAGAGCAAAAAGACTTTAGGAGTACAGTAATATGATTAATATCTAAAATATTAATGATGATGATGATGCTGGCAGCAGCAGGTGTCAGGACCAGGGTCCAGAAGGAACTACGATCAACGGAGACCTGCTAAGGGAGAAAGCACAAAAAAAACTCCCGGAAAGAAGCTGAATTAGTCATGGGCATTAATAAAACGTGAATTATGGCAGAACGAGAGCGTGAGAGAGGAGCTTGTGTGTCCTAAGAAGTCCCCCGTCAGTCTAAGCCTATAGCAGCTTAACTAAGGGCTGGTCCTGGCTAACCTGAGCCAGCCCTAACTATAAGCAAAATCAAAGCGGAAAGTTTTGAGTTTTACTTTAAAAGAGCTGAATCTGCCCCCTGGACTGAAAGTGAAATCTGGTTCCACAAAAGAGGAGCTTGATGCCATCTGGAACTGAACTAAAGTATAAGAGCAGCCTTGCCCTGTTGTGGGGGCAGAAAGAAATTCTTGGCAGTTTGATGCGCTTAATAGATTCGCAAGCGCAAGTTCAGTCAGGAAGACAATCTATCTGACTGGTTGCCTCCCATGTTATTACTCTATGAGCTGACAGTGCTGCTGATGACGCAGTGTCCTCTTCTCTGTCCTCTTGCTGCTATTCCTTTCACCACCACCACCAGTGTCTGGACTCCAGGGGGATTGGGCCTATTGTACCTCAGTACCCCCTGCCTTCTGCCTTCGGTACTTCAGGATGCCGGTGAGAGTACTTCATGATGGAGTCCAATCGGCAAAGACGTTGCACAATTCATATTTGATGCATGTGTAATAAAGTATTATTCTATTAAATGAGTCTCTCCTGATTGTACTGTGCACGTAGATGTTGTGACCTTTTTTCCTTGCCAGAAAATAAACTGATACATATTTGATTTAGAGCCTTCATTCTTATTTTACGATTGTCTGTGCAAAATCTTCCATCACACCAGCATGAACAAGCACCTGTAAGGTTAGGAATGACAACTTGTAGAACGTTACCTGTTGCATGGCAACCAGTGTCATGGCCCTAACCCTGTGACCGGAATTATATTTGTTATTGAGACCTATCTGCCCAAAGCCCGTCTTCTGAAATTCTGTGAATAGTAGTCAGGGTGTAACGCAGGAAGGCAATGTGGTAACGTGTGAAATTGCATGGAGTAGTAATAGAGAGTTAGCGATGGACTGCTAGGTGAAAGGTTGACTTGCTGAGAACCCCTCTTGAATTCTCAAGGCTGAAGCACTGATACTTTGAGATGCATGTTTTTAAATGGCTTTGGATTGAAGACATGGGCTGAATTAGAATACATTTTTATTTCCGTGGAAACATCCCTACTAGCTGAGCCTACTATACTTGCTGAGAACCCCTCTTAAATACTCATGCTTTGAGATGGATGGTTTTAATTGGCTTTGGATTAAAGTTAGAATACATTTCTATTTCCCCAGAAAAAGTCCAGAGGCTGTTCTATGTCATCCTTACTGAACGCCAGAGGCAGTGTTTCACACTGGATACCTTCCTTCTCTCACAAGCGCAGTATTTTATGACAAGAGTCTCTCTTGAACAGACAGACATGAAGTCACTTCCCCTGAACCTGCCCCCTAGTGCGGGGAGCACTGTGACCTCTGACCCACCCACAGTGGAACTGGGTTTTTTTTGAGGTAAAGAGTGACCATCTCGGCCCCCCGAGCTCTAAGCTCTTCAGAGGAGGCAGTTGACAGCTCCATGGAGTCTCTCAATCGCATGGCGGTGCCCCGCCTGCAGTTGGATATACGGCAGCCTGAAACTGCCTGCTACTGCATTCTTTCAGGGCGCTGCCACTACATGATGGAAAGACACCGGGCCTCTGTCCCGTCTCACATGGGTTGGTCTAACCCTTGAGGCTATCCGATGTGCGTCCCTCATAGTTTACCCCGGGGAGACCATAAGGCCAGATGCCAGATTCCCTCGACTCCAGAGTCGGGTCACAAATTATGCTCTCCAGGCCTTATGACACAGCAGCGGGATTGGGCCGTCGGCTGGTGAGCAATACATGCTTGAGGTGGAACTTGGACGGCTCGGCTGTTACCTTGTGGTCTAGACACAACTTTTTGCCCCAAAGGTGCTGCTCGCTCGCAGACCAATGCATCCGGGGATGGAAAGTGTGAAGTTCTGGCCTAAGTTCTGTTGTGCATTACAAACACTAGACCGGATGATTCTGCAACACCTTCTCGAAACAGCAATGCCAGTCGGCCGAGACCGGCCAAGATTCAAACTGCATGGGAATGGTTGTTGCTGCAACAACCATTCCCATGCAGTTTGAATACAGTTTGAATACACCAATTACCCTCGTGAAGAGTCAAAGGCGTAGAAAGGATACGACCTGCATCTCATACCGTCAGTGAGTCTGATGCTCACATCCTGCACCGGTCCGTGTTTCACTTTGATGTTGCTGAAGGAGAAACCTGAGCTTTCATGTTGTAGCTGCAGATTCACATGTCGTGCCATGATGGTTTTGCTAATTTTAAGAATATTTGTGCCATATGTACATCTCTGTCCACTGAAAAGTTTTTTTAGGTAATTAAAGACCTCAGTAGCACAGCCACATATGTTTACCGTCATTGCATTTATAAAATGGTGTTGAAGAGCTCAAGTGAGGTTGTCACTGATAAACTTATATTTTTATATTTTCCAATTATTATTAAAGCTATGTTCCTCACTTGGTTGTGTGTGGTCTCTTATTTTTCTGCCCCTCAATCTCATTGTATAAATTCAAAAATAAATGAAGACATTTCAAGTTGGATACATGTGAGTATATAATTAGATAAGTTATCCAATGTTTCCCATTCATCTATTTTCTAAGCTACTAGTCTACTCAGTCTTTCCTTCTACTGCTTGGAGTCATATAGTCTCAGGTGACAAACATCTGCGCCCCCTCAGTGGATCAGGTCTCAGGTCAAGAGGTTCGGTGGTGTCAAAAGTAAAAACATTCATCACTCAAGTGTAGGTACTGGAGTTTAAAAACACTCTTAGTACTTAGTAAAAGCTCTAAAATCTACTTAACGTATAAAAGTAAAAAGTAACCTTAATAGAAAAAATAGTTGGACCTCATATAATTGACACGACTAAGAAATAGAAGCCTAATTAAAACCTGACTAGTGCTATGAGGGAGATTTATTTTTTATCCCCTTATACTGAACAAATATCCCAATTCTTCCATGTTAGAAAAACAGTATTTAATTATTAATAAAAACCTCTTAACATAAAAAGGACATGACAAATCCACGTCAGCTGCTCAGGAGTCCCTTCAGCACCCTCACAGGGGACGGTGGTCTCTCATCTCCTGCAGCAGCTCTTCTAAGGCTTCCTCCATTTTCAATTTGGGACGTCTGTGTATGCGAATGTACTGTGGAAAGGACACAATAAGTGTGAATTATCAACAGGCCATGTTTGAACAGGAATTTAGAATGTAAATTCATTTAAAAGGTCATTATTCTGTGTCAGGGTACTGACTGATTTTCCCTTATTTGAATGGCACTTCCATCACAGTGAATATGCAGGGAAAGTGTTTATCCCTCATAGTGACGACTATGTTGGGAACATGTCTCCTCTTTTTATTATTGGGACAGAACTGGAACCGGTTGGAATTATTCACTGCTGCCTAAACGCCAATACGTAATGTCTTGTTGTGTAATGTTTGCCTCCTTGGTGTCCTCCAGCGTGGTGTATCTGTAGTTCGCTGGTCCCAGGCTCTGCACCAAGCTGGAGTGAAGGGGATGCCTGCTTTCCATGAGCCGCCTGGTCATGGCAAGTTGCTGTTTCAGCATTTCATTGAGTGCAAAAACAGCTCGGTTGGAGGTACTGACACCAGGGCTGACACACACACACACACACACACACACACACACACACACACACACACAAACACACACACGGAACAATTGTCTTCATCAAAACCCTCCTCCGCATGTCCATGCTCCCCTGCTAAGCACAACGCTTATCGCAGCATATCACTAATAACATCTTCTACTTGGGTAATTTGTGTACATTCGACTCGTCTCTCCTCACTTGAACTGCACCACATGTTTAAGTTTGCAAGGAGGGAATTATTCTTACCGGAAATGGGGGGCAGAAAATCAATAGCGTCGTCAAGCATTGGTTGCATATTTTATTATTAATCAGATATAAATATCTATCAATAAGGCCTATATTCTTTTTAATAAATTACTAGTGTTTATCTTTTTTTACAGAAATGCTCGATAAATAAACCAGACAGCCGACAAACTGCTCCTGCAGAAGCCGGTCACAGAGCTCCAGTTGTGTTGAATTAAAGAGCAAGCTGAATTTAACTTCATCCTTAAACACAAACTAATACTGCAGAGGTACTATTTTGATCCAGTAGCAGGTTTAACATTTGTGCTAATCTCTTAACACCAACATAATCGATTTAAGAGAATACTCAGAATACTCTAGTGTGGAACGTGGGATTTTGTTGTATTTTCAATAGTTTCAATGAGTCTTACCTTCCACCATTTCTGCACTGAGGGTGTAAGCTCCCACTGGCGTGGGATCCATGTAAGTCATTCTCACCGGGGGGGCAAGAGCACCTACAGGAGGGGGGGCAGACAAATGAATCCTGATGACTGGGGCTACTGTGAGGAAATGTGACAATGGGGGTTCAGATTACACACCTAAAATGTACAAATGCCACGTATGGCAAACTTACCGGCGGGCCATGTGTAAGCCAGAGGATCATGCAGAGTCTGTACTGCTGTTTCTTTTAAAACCTTTCTAGATGAGTTTGGCCACCTCGACCGGCGGGATGATGTCCGGCCGTCATGTAAATGGTAAATGGACTGTACTTGTACAGCGCTTTTCTAGTCTTCCGACAACTCAAAGCGCTTTAACAGTACATGACATCATTCACCCATTCATACCCATTCATACACTGATGACAGGAGAACCATACAAAGTGACACCTGCCATCAGTAACTAACATCCACACACTGTAGTCGCAGCTACAGGAGCAACATTGGGTTAAGTGTCTTGCTCAAAGAGACAACGACATGCATGTTAGATGAGCCTGGGATCAAACCGACAACCGTCTGATTGGAGGACGACCGTGCTCCCCACTCACCCAGTCCCCGCGTGTGTCTGTTAGTGTGTCTGTGTGTACATCTAAATGTTAGTTTGTGTGTACAACTAAATATTAGTGTGTCTGTGTGTACATCTAAATGTAAGTGTGTCTGTGTGTACATCTTAATGTTAGTGTGTCTGTGTGTACATATACATGTTAGTGTGTCTGTGTGTACATCTTAATGTAAGTGTGTCTTTGTGTACATCTTAATGTAAGTGTGTACATCTTAGTGTTAGTGTGTCTGTGTGTACATTTTATTGTTAGTGTGTCTGTGTGTATATCTTAATGTCAGTGTGTCTGTGTGTACAACTAAATGTAAGTGTGTCTGTGTGTACATCTACATGTTAGTGTCTGTGTGTACATCTAAATGTAAGTGTGTCTGTGTGTACATCTTAATGTTAGTGTTTCTGTGTGTACATCTCAATATTAGTGTGTCTGTGTGTACATTTTAATGTTAGTGTGTCTGTGTGTACATCTTAATGTTAGTGTGTCTGTGTGTACATTTTATTATTAGTGTGCCTGTGTGTACATTTTAACGTAAGTGTGTCTGTGTGTACATCTTAATATTAGTGTGTCTTTGTGTACATTTTAATGTTAGTGTATACTGTGTGTACATCTTAATATTAGTGTGTCTGTGTGTACATTTAATCTAA